CAGCAGCAGCAACTGCAATTATTTCTGCATTAGAAGTTCTTCCGAGTTGGCTGGCTAATGTCAGTTTAAGTGTTGGAATGAATGCCAGCCAGATAGTCCGATACTCGCTAAGTCAGTCAGTCAGCCAGTTGCAATGTGGGAAAATATCTTAAACAGCTCACAGCCCTCGGCTCTCGGCTAAATTCAGACCAAACTCACATGGATCGCTGGATTCGTCGCTATAAGACTCACAGCCATCAACAATGCATGAAATGCGCAACAAGTCCTAAACTGCATATAATATATGCACTTTAAGAGCAGAGGCCGGGTGGAGACTATATTAAATCAAATTAAAACAGTTAACTGCCCCAAAATGGATGCCCACGCAGCTGGCGTTGCTCAATGAAGCCAACCAAAATAAGAAAAATCAAAAATTTGCTGCGCAGTGTAAAAGTGCTTGAACAATATTTATTGAGTGCCAGCGCAAACATTAAATTGTGTCCAAATTTTCAAGCAAATGATGCTTATCATTTATGGCAAATCGTTTTATATAGAATCGAAATGCAGAAACAAGAAAATTAAAGAGAAAAATTTCATTCCATAACAATTTCACTCCAATCAAGAAGGCATCTCAATATAGTATGTATAGGTACTTTGGGACAAACAACAATTTGAAACGAAACATTTGAAGGAATTTATTGTAAATTCGTACATTGTTAAGAACACTTTATGCCTAAGTACAGATTTCATAAGTGATTTGAAAATAAATTAAATGACAGTGTTAGATGAAAGAGTGCAGGGTATAAAAATCTAACTACTATAAATCAAGCAATTGGACAATTTAATCATCATCGACGATTTCGGTGATTTTCGCGCTCTCGGCAAACACGTCTGGTATTTCAGCATCTTCGGATCGCTCGATGATACGTTGCCGCTCTGCAGCTGCCAAACATTGCGTAGCCACCTCACGAGCCTTGGCCCGCTCCTCGCCTGGCAGCTGGCTTAGGCCACTGAGCAGCTCCATAATGTCCGTCTCGAATAATTTCTTAGCGATCTCAGGGCCCGCATTGATCATATTGAGTATGACGACAACGCCGCGATGCTGCACGTCTGGACTCGGATTGGCAATGAGTGTGTGCAATATATTCAGCCAACTGGAGATGTTCAGAATTTTGGCACAGCACTTGGTGGACACGGAGGTGAGCATCGCTAGAGCGCCAGCGCAAGCCTTGGCCGTATCCTCGTCCTCATCCTCGCAAAGCAGTGCCAAAAACTTGACACGATCGTTTTCGCCCTCAAACATTTTCACCACATCCTCCGACATGATCAGATTGCACAGACACTGAGCCGCGGCCCGCGTGAGATACAGGTGATCCTCCATCAGATAGTACTCAATCTTGGAGACGCCCTGCTCCTTGATAATGCGCTGGCGCACGCTCTCATTCATGCTGGCCAAATTGGTAAGGGCCATCAGTGCCTCAAAGTTCTCCAGAGCTGTACACTCCTGCAGCAGCAGATTCAGCAATGGTCGTATGACGTCCAGCGAGCGCTGACCGCTAAATGCCACCTCCGGGTTGATGGTGATGCCGATGCGCGCGAGCGCTTGGCTAGCATGACGTTTGCCCTTTTCGGTGCCCTCCAAGGCCATTCGGAGCAATGCCTTAACACCTCCGTCCTGCACCACCTTGCCACGTAGCTCCTGCAAGCCACAGACGGCGTTGAGCACACGCGCAATAAGCTCCTGGGAATTGTGGCTCTCCGTCTTGGACAGAGCACAAAGCGCCGTGGTGATGCCCTCATTACACAGCACAGTGATGCGCTTGTTCACGAAATCCACATCGTCCAGCTCGTGCTCCTCTGGTATATGATGTTTGGCAAACTTGGCCAGCTCAATCATTTCGGGGACCATCTCCTGTTTCTCGTACGCATTGCACAGATTGACAAATGTTGTTACCACGCCGTACAAACACGACTGATCGCCGGCACGTGCTAAGTCCATGAGTGCATGTATAGACGCGTGATCCTCAATAAGTTTCTCTTTGCATTCGGCATCCAGCGTAAGATAGGCCAAGCCATCAGCTGCCCAGCGCCGTATGTCCTTATCCTTGCCTGGCTTGATCAGGAACCGACGACAGGCCTCGGCCAATTTCAAAGCGGCACCATCGCCAAATGGTCTTATAGCCGCATCCTGGCCACCATAGCTACCCAGCTTGCACAAACCCACCAGGGCGCGCACACGTATGCCATCATTCTTGGAGTGATATAGACGCTTCAGAATATCCACGCCCTGTTCGCACAGGGCCTTGGCTTTGTCCTTCTTCGAGGAAGCCGCTATAAGACATTCGCACGCCACGCGCTGCTGCAGCAAATCATCTGTAGTCGCCATGGCCAAAATCATTTGAAGAATGCCTACGAAAGAAAGATATTCAACATATTGTATAATTATATGTATAAAATATTAAAAGTGTCATTATACGCACCCTCTCTGGCTACAATCTGGTTTCCCACGTCGAGCGGACCATTGAGAAGCGCTGTGATAGCCACAGTGACGCGCACCTTGGACTCCATGTCAGGCGAGAGCAGCTTGTCCTTAACAAACTCGTCAATTTGCTCTGTAAAACGCTGCTTGGCCTCATCGTAGTACATGTTCTCATAAATGCGGGCCAGACACACCGACGCAATAGTGCTCGTAGAGGAAGTTATGTCCATAGCACTCTCATATTTGTAGTCCTGGAGCTCTGAGCACACCTCCAGCAGGCGGCACAGCCCACGTATCTCCACCAAACGCTCTGCCCATTCCAACGCAGTGTAGTGGACATTGCGTGTGATCAGCTCAATAACTGCATCACGCGCCTTGCCCGATATGGTGCGATCCGTGATGCTATATACCAGACACGTGAGTAACGTATCAATCTCACGATTATTCTTTTTGCACAATTCCTTGTTCGGCTTCGCATCGGGCTTGTTCTTGAGGCCGGACAGTGCATTGATAATAGTCTGTAGACAAAACTGTGCAGTACTCGCGCAATCCTCATGCTTCTGGTCGAGCACGCGCATAAACCAAGGTATGCCCAGTTCGGTGAGTACGCCTTTGGTGCGCTCCACACTGTTGTCGCACAACGCAGCCACAACACGTACCATATTCAAGTAGATCTGCTCGTCCTTTTCGATTTTGGCTAGAGTGGCTATCTTTGGCACACACTGCTCCTTGTACAGCAATTCGGCTCCTGCGGGCTCTCTGGCCAGCACCACCAGGTTATTAGCGCCCGAGCGTCGCTTCTCAATGGGCGCGGTAATATCAAAAGCAAGCTCCATCATTTGCTTCACTTTCGTTGACGTTTTGGCATTACGCGCTGCATTCTCTTGCACAATCAGATGCAATCTCTGCAGCATAGGCTGCACAGATTTGTTGCCCGGATCCGCTTTAAAAAGGGCCGTGGCATCCTTATAGGCTTCTTCGGGTTTGTTTAGCGCCTCGTATGCCTGAGCACGACGGAATAGCGCCTTGGGGTCATTAGGCGCCAGACGTAGCGATTCTGTGCAATCGTCGACGGCCTCTGTGTATTTCTCAAGCTTTAAATAGGCAGCAGCACGGTTCTTATAGAACACGGGCAGCTCCTTGTGCTTATCGCCTAGCTTAATAGCAGCGCTGTATTCTTGCACTGCTTCTGACCATTTGGCGGCTTTGAACGCCTCATTACCTTTATCTTTATGACTTACAGCATCAGCACCAGCGGCAGCTGGAGCTCTTTCCGTAGCGGTGTCTTCGGTGGTCATAATTATACAATTCTTCTAAATGAAATACTTTTATTTTAGCTGTGTACAGTACAAACGTTTCACTTAAAATGCGAGTGATTCACGATTTTTGGCTGTTTTTCGCTTCTTTTCTACCGTTTGGCCTTATATCAAATGCTGCCGAAACTTCTCGATCGCACATGCACACACACATGCAAACGTGAAAAACAAGCACACAGCGCTCGAAATTTCAATTGCTGGTATGTTCTATATATAAATAAAGCCCAAAAGGAAAATCCAAAAACAAAAAACAAGAAAGAAGAAAAGCGGTCACAACTGTTTTCAAATTGCCATTCAGCTGTTGTCGGCGAAAACAGCTGATCGCGCAGCTTTATCGTTAATCGATAAGTTGTTTTCAAGTTCAGGAGCAGCTGATTGTTTATTTGGTTCGCCAAAAGAATGTGATATAACAATTAACAAGTCTATTTGTGTAGTTAGCAATTTATACAAGCCATGTTGCAACATGGCCAACTTCTCTGTCGCTTCTTAGCTCGTTGCCTACACACAACAAACGGTCAATGGCAGATTAGCCATTACGAGGCCTTGGGCATCAGTAAAAGCTCCACGCAGACAGAAATTAAAGCGGCGTATTATAAGTTATCCATGGTCTATCATCCGGATCGGAACAAGGGCAGCGAGAGTGCCGCTAAGAAGTTTCGTGAGATAACCCAGGCCTACGAGGTGCTTGGCAACTATCGGCTGCGTCGTCTCTACGATAAAGGAATTGTGCATACAGCTGGATCCCAGTACGCGCAGGATATACGAGATGTAGGAGAGGACGTGGAGTACGAGGAAGAAGATTCGCAGACTAAATTCTATAAGTCACGGTTCAGGAAGTCGACAGTTGGTGATTCCCAAGGACGGACGCCCATCTACAATTTTGATGAGTGGAGTCGGGTTCATTATGGCAAAAGCTTTGACAGACGCCAAGCGGCACAAGCGAAGCACGAACGTATTCGCCAGCAAAGAGAAACAAATAGAATATCTGTCCAAAACGATCTAGTTTTGTTTGCTTGTCTATTTGCGGGCGTAGCTATGTACCTGATGTTTGTAGCAGAGGCTTCATATGATACCCCAAAGAGTAGAGCGGAAGAGCGACACAAACGGAACCAGGAAAAGGAGTCACTGGTTGTAAATACATCAGACAAAAAATAATAGTCAGTATCGAGGCCTAGCCCAATTTAACAATGATTTACGTCTAACTATGTTAATAAAAACACAAAATGTATATAAAGATGTGTATTTAACAGTCCTCAGAAGCGACCGCTGCGCTTACGTGCAGTGTACTTGGTGTCTGGACGCGTTTCGAGGCCTTGGCGACGACGTCGCTCCTTCTTGGCCAGTATCCAATCACGTGACTTCTTTGGCGCCTTACCACGCGCATCACGGCAAGCATCGCGCTTCTTTATATAGTTAATGCGGCGTTCCTCCTCAGGCGATCCTGGAAAAATAGCTAACGATTAAACAACAAAATTATTCAATTTATAGGTGGGCTTACCTAGGGCCTTTGGCAGTTCTGCTGCGCCTCCCGTCATCAGCACCAAATAGTATTTTTTGGCTTTGGCGGAGTTGGGAAAGTCCACCACAAGACCGCCATAGAAACCCGCCTTCATTGCTTGTGCGGTGACCATTTCAATTTGGTCTGAATTCTCGGGATAAAACTGAAAGACAGCGCGAGCCGTGCGAGTCAAGCATGAGAACAATGTTGTAAAGAATTTTAGCAGACGTTTGTGTGGATTGTGATAGGATTTGTCGGCGTTGCATAGCCATTGTAGAGCCGATATGGATATCGCGCCATCGAAAGTGCCAGGCCTAAAAGGCATACCCTCCCCCATATCACCCAAAATAAGATCTCCGGCTACTTCGCGCTCAACAGCGATGTCCAGCATAGATTTGGATATATCAATGCCAACCCAGATGTGATCACTGTCGTCGAGTACGCTGCCCGAAAGACCAGAGCCGCACCCAATATCCAAAATAAATCGAGGTTCATCGTCATCCGGCAGTGCTAGAAGTTCAAGAGCGCGCTCCGCCATTTCCACTTGAATTTCTATAATGCGGGTACTACAAACAACACAAATTAACAAAAACCACAGATATAAACAAAGGATTGAATACTTGCTTTGTGGAATACTTTTTGGCCTCATCGTCATTGTAGAACTGTAAAATAGTAAATTGATATAAATATTATGTTTTCAACTTGATTTACTTACAATCTCCGGCGGTGCTGAGTGTTCTGGTCTACGCGCCATCTTTATTTGTTTCAATTAATTTAGGCGCAGCTGGATCCAGAAACTTCAAATATTAAACAAATCCAAACATTGGTACACGTGCAACCAAGTGCTATCGATATTTATGCTGCAAAACAGCTGATCATATGGAATAGGTCGTGTTTACTATCGTTTAGCTTAACAACGATTTTTGTGCTAGTTATCGATTTGACGCATACACAAACACATATCAACGCGTAGTGGTATCTGCTTAAAATTCAGTGAAAATAGTATTCATTTATATGAAATAAAAGCACTAAACATGTGATAGTTGCAATTTAAGTGTACCAAAGATTCAGTATACTGTTAAACGGTAAGTGGCTAACGATTTACAAATTAATTGAGTGTAATGGAAACATTTGTGCATTCACTCAAAGTGTGTGCATGTGTGCATTCGTGGATGACTGTGTGTGTAGGTGTGGGTGCTCCGCTGTCATTTAAAACTGCGGCAACCCGACACGACAGCATTAATTATAGTGTTTGTGACTACACTTAAGCTAAGAATCGTTAAGCCGTTGAAAATTATGTGTGTTAAAATTCTCAGCATAATTATATATAATGCAGCGTCCGCTTGCCTTACCGTTATGCTTCGCCGATTTATTGACAGCTATTGACCTGTTTACCTTGTCCCAATATAAGTCATTGTTTGCTGAGAAAGCGAAAACACAGCCTAGAACAACTTGAAAACAACAACATCAGTAACACGAAAGAGGCGTGCGCCTCAACAGGTTTGTGCTGTGTTCTCTCCTGTAGTCTCTTGCCTTCGACAACAACTGCGATTTCAGTTCTCACTGCTCTCGATTAACCCATCGATAACCAATGCATGTACATTTATCAGTTGCTTCCCAACCATGCAGTTCACCTCAAACTGCATTTTGATGTAATGTGTTTTTTTTTTCTGATTCGATTTGATTCACCGAAAAAAGTAAAAATAAATAAACGAAGAACACAAATATTCAGGTTTATATTTTTGCGGCTTTTGAATATTTAAGTGCTATCTTCGCTCATGCCCAAACTGGTTATGGCACACACTCCAAAATCTTTCACTCTTTCCAAGAACAAAGCGTGAGGACAACGGCGATTACCAAAAAAAAAAAAAAAAATTTTGACGCAACACAAATGCGGTCGCTGGCCTCTGTTTAACAAGTTTACCCAAATAAAAATTTTGTTTTTGCAATGTGCAACTAAAAAATACCCTGTATACTGTTAAAGTTCTCTTCCAATATATGAAACAGAAATCAATAAAGATAGTAAAGGGCTTTCAATTATTTAAAGTTACTTACAAAATAATTATTAGATTGGACAAAGAAATATTTGTTCCTTGTTATTTGATACTTTTAAATTAAAGTACAAATTTATTTCACAAAAAAATAATTTTCTATATTAAAATAAAAGTTGTATTATTATATGCTTTAAAAATATTTGTTTTATAAAATATTCCATATATCATAATTTGGTACTTTATTATAAGTACTTCAAAAACTACATTTCTATTCCACTTCTCTATTCCATCTAATAGATACTTATAAAAACATTTGCTTAATTTTATATAAAATAAACAATTTTCGAATTGTTGAGGGTAACACACTTGTTTAGTTTTAGTTTTCAATACAGGGTATTAACGCAGTTTAAACTGAGCATCCAATTCGTAAAACCAGCTTGTCTCATGAAGATTCTTGCTGGCTGTCGTCTGCCAACTTTCAGTTACCAAACTGTCTCTCTGCCGCGCAAATCGCTCGAAAAACCCCGACCACAAATCTAAAAAAAAAAAAAAAACTAAAAACAAAAAACTTTCGTAAAAATGCGCAGTTGCTTGAAGCGGACATCTTTGTGGATGCTGCTGCTATTTGGGCTGCTTTCGCCTGGCCAGCCTGCCAATCTGTTGAACAGCTATCTGCCCGCTTCCATGCAGGCGCTGGCCTACTACATAGATCTGCTCCAATACGAGCCGTTGTCCAGCACCACAGCGGAGCCCCCATTCAGTGCCGATGGTCAGCAGGAGCAAAGCACCACACCGCTGACTCCAGTAGCTAGCTCCAGCTCTACCTCAAGGCCAACTGCTACAAATTCTAATCCTAGCAGACCCAGCAGCACAACACGACGACCCACAGGCAGCACCACCGGCTGGTGGCAGCCCCCAAGTTGGTGGGAAACTCCACAGCGTACCACAACCACCGCACGACCAACAGCAGCGCCAACTCCGCCACATGGTCCGGCGCTCTATGCACCAGATACAGCCAAGCGCGTCTTGCCAACACCACTGGAGGGTCAGGCGCTCTTCGATGAGATCCACTCTGATTCAGATTTTGATAGATTACCGCTATCGCTGATCCGCGACATACAGACGGAGGCGTTGCACGATGATTTTACTAATGATGTGGAATCGTTGGATAACTTTCTACGCCTCTACGATGATAATTATGGGCGTGCCGCCTTTGATTTCGAGTCGGCTATGGATCGCTGGAGCAGCACATCGACAGCGGGCAAAAAACGAGTACCGCCTACTAAGCCCTATGTGGACTTTCTGCTCGTCTACGATCTGCTCAAACGAGATGCCAAGGCGGCGAATCTAAGCAAATATGAGGGCTACTCCGAGGAGTTGCTGCAGCAGCTGTTCGAGCTGTCTAATGCCTCGTCCACACGACAGTTGCACACACTGTTCCAGCGTATGCTCGACCGTGGAGATGTACAGCGCAGCGATGTGGTGGCCCGCGTACAGGGTATTCTAAAGGATTTGGGCAATCCGAATAGCGCCACATCCAAGGCGCTCGTCCATATACCAAGCATGCAATTTTTGCCCTAGATCTAAAGTGTTTTGTCCATTTAACGAGCACATAATAAATTGTAATTCATAAAATATTCAATTCAAATCGACCATCTGACACATTGACACAGTTTAGGCAGCCCGCCCACCTTTTTCGATATGTTTGTTTGTGTGTGAGCTATCGATAACGAGTGGCCAATTTGTTGCACATATGGCGGCTGTCAACAGCTGTGACGACGTCATCAATAAATCTCCAAGCGCAAGAGAGACGCATATACGCGCTCTCTTATCCCGCTCTCTTGTTCTCTTTGATTTTGCATGCAGCCCGCTCGACGCCTGTGACCAAGCTTACCTTAACCAAGAGGTAACGCTTGAAATATGATCTCGTGACGTCACAAAGGCGTGAGGTTATAATGTTAAAGGAAACTATAAAATTCTACAATTCATCATATTTAAAATTCTATATAAACAAAAACGAACTCCAAATTATTCACACATTAATTTATCGCAATAACGAATAACATTTCGCAGCTCTCTCTCTCTCCCTGAATTATTATGCTGAAGCGTTGTTGTGTTTGCCGTTGACTTTGCCGCTCTCTGCTGCTGCTGCTTGCTTCCAGTTGCCATTTGTATTTGGAGCGTGTAGCAAGTGTTGTTTCTCCCGTTGTTGCTTCCATTTAGTTAACGTTGCATAGCGGAATAATTCTGTAATTATTAAATTGCGAATCAGAAATAGCAAACCAACATTAAAGCTTGTTGATAACTTTATAAAAGAAAATCAATTTTATATAATTAGTACTACCAGTTCTGTACTAAACTCAATTTGTGGCATGGAAAAAAGTTATCGATTTGTGTGAAAGTTGCAAGCGGTGGCGGCACCGCAGCTGACAATAATTGGCAAAAAGAAAGTTTTTCTTTTGTAAATCAAAGTTGTAAATTGCACAATGGAAAACTTAAACTTTGCACGCACGCCGCAATTTCTGCGCAAAGTCATCAACGAAGCGCGCAGGTAAATAAATTTGCTCACAGCAGACAACAACAATGAAAACCCACCACCTACAACAACAACGGCAGTATCACAGACAAAGCGGCGGTCTGCAAGCAGCGAGTAACGGGATAAAATGGGGTGGCTGTGTGTGTGTGTGAGTGAGAAGATTGGCAATTGTCTGTGATGCAGTTCTATGTGGTTTCTGTTCTCCGTCTTACTGTTTGCATTCTCCTGCTGCACCTTACAGGTTTTACTTGCTTACTTTTACGCTCGACCGATGCCAACCACACGACCCCCAAACCTATTACAGTTGCAAGGCGTCTTATGTAACCCGAGCCTGGCGACGTCAATTGCTTTGATTTTTTTTCTTATTATTTTGTATATGCAACATACGACCGCGAACAAAAGCAGTCCTTAAACCGTTAGCCCCATTGTGTTTCAAGCAGCCATTGCCATAACCATTGCCCCACAAGCGGTGCGCTCATAATTTTGTGCAGAATAAGACAAAGGGATTGCCGTTACATGTCTTTGTTTTGGGCCGACACCCTCTTTACGTAGGATTTGGCTCCTCTTGACTTTTTCAATGTATGTGTGTGATGTGCGCTTGTGTTGTATTTGGGCGACATACATATGTATGTAAGCAAGTAGGCACATACCGTATGTATGTCAACAGTTGCTTTTTATCGCGCCCAAGGCGATAGAGCGTACTTATCATTGTATATAAGTATGTATGTACAAATATTGCTATGCTGGTGATTGTATTGGTTGCTCTACAGCTTCCCTTTATGCTTTTGTATAATATAATGTTAAGCAAGTCTCATCCGCATTTATTTAGCTCGGGTGATGCATAAATTATTTCAATTGGACACACTGCGAACAGTGTGACCTTCCTGTGAGATTTTACCTACCATCAGAGCAAATGGCAAATCCAAGGTCAATAACAGAACCTAGCTGCAATTTATCGATAAGTCCTAAATGAAAATTGATCGCACAGATGTCGAAATGTTTGAGTGGGTAATTAAGTGAGTGGGCAGTAGAGATGAGCAACATCGTGACTGTGACTTGAATATCAGACTGTGTTTCACTTTGTCGAAGTCATATTTTTGTTGGGGATAGAAATATTTTTGAAGCATATCTTGATCAAATGACAGATATATTTAGCCTAATTATACGCCTAATTATATGATCATTATTAAATCACAATATATGTGTCAATCTGTGATTCAGTCACAGTCACGAGTTCATTCATCAACTTTTGTCGACAGCTAGAAGAACGTACTTGAA